CGTACCCAATAAAATCTCCCGGATGTTGAAGCATAAAGCTGGTTCATATTTGGACACCAGTGAAAGGTAGAAGGCCTTTGCTGCGGAGTTATTTATTAGAAAATACCAACTGACCAGTTACAGACTATTGGACAGGAAAGCAAAACTCTCATCTGCATCTCATCTACAAAAACTGGAAATCCATCTTCTCCTAAACGCGTCTTCTTGAAATTGCCTGGATATTCATTGACTCCAATCATTTATTGCTCAAATCCAGGCAAATGTTATAAAGCGACCCCACAAATTCCACAGCAGATATCTCTTTTCAGTGGATGCAAAGCGAATGTACAAGAACAAAACATACTAATCGCATGCCTCCCCATCTGTAGTATCAACGTTACACCAGTTTTTCAAACTGAATATAGAGAGGCCTTTTACTTTCAATATGCACTTCAAAACGTGCTGAACTTTCACCCGCGGAGGCATAACCCATAGTCTAACTCAACTCATCAAGTTATAAAATGCCCATTCTGTTTTCGTCGTGCGAGGTAACCAGAATGTTTGCCACTGAAACTCCGGAGTTTTAAGAAGGTACACGAACTGTTCCAGTTGGATTCGACTTCAGCTGAGAGCTCGACCATGATGACCGTATTTCATTTGGTCACCTGATCAAACAGTGGACAACCAATGAACAAACGCAAAATAGCTCGACTAGTCTTGCTTTGATCCAGTTGAAATTTGCTGAAATTGCTCAGGAATGGGAGAGAGAAACCTATCCACGCCAATAGGATAGAGATATTCGACAATAGGAGAGGTCCAGTAGACAGTCCACATGTCGAGTTCCATAAAATGATCCCAACTGTGACCTCATTTTTCAAAATTACGTGCCACAAGAATCGGACAGGATATACACGTAGAGATAATCGATTTTCCGGACTCTGCTTGACCGGACTTATGCAGTTTATGCAAGAATATCAAACCGATCGTATATCACTGTCACTTTTTCGGGCTCATCCCCGTTCCTATGAGGCACTTGTTTTGGTTTCTCAAAGATGTCTAAGTCGACCATCACTGCCCAAAGATAAGTTGGGTGAAAAATCAACTCTGCCGTTCAGAATACTTCAGAAATAACCACCCAAATGCCACAAGAATAACCGCGGACCCAGTGTGCGTTAGTGGCATCGACCAAATAGGGAAGATCGACTTCTTGGTATCACTTGGTGGTGCATTCAGGCACCCACATTATCAGTCAACTAAACAAAAACAGATTAGCGTCTCCTCAGCAACCTATTGCGAGCACATTGCGATCACAAACCAATCTGATGACAGTTGCACCGCAGTCGAATAGTCCGCTATAGGTAACCACCGACGACAAACCTTGAGTGAGTGCGTGTTCCACCGATGCGTCTTTTGCGGCCAGAACGAATTCGAGGGACAGTCACAGTGGCAGGCTTTCCAATTTTTTGTTTAGTATCCTTGTCGGTCAGGAGCAGCCAAAAATTGCTGAGATAACTCCAAAGAGTGCATTGAATCTAACGCATCGTCGCCTACTAATGATGTGTCAAATGACGAGTCAGCCTGGAACACATCCATCTTTCTAACTTGACCTTCCCAGTGCTAGATCTGTCACAGGAGTTCATGCGAACGTATCTGTCGGTTCATCTCCACTAACTTATGGCTGAATGCTCACCACTGTAAAATACGTGACGTATTTTGAAAAGCCCGATTGAGTGACTTGCGAACTCACAATCCAAGAATTACGAGGTCTTGAGATTTATCAACTACGGGTAAACACAGTTTATATGAGGAGCAACTAAACTTAAAATCGTGGGAATTTCCGTTTAATTGTTGCACGAACAGGTGCAATTCTGAAAGCAGTCCGGTAAGAACGCAAATCGACGTCAATTACAGAAAAACATGCACGCACAGCACGTGGTAACGCAAATGGTCAAAAATGCGCGGGAAAGGTTGGTCAGAATTTATTCGAAATGTTAAGGGTCAAAGTTTCATGAAGCATTGTGGGTGAATATCAACTAGATCGATAGTCACAGGAAACAGTGCGTAATGAGTAGTTCATTGCGAGTATACATGTATCGCGATATCTCGAATATCGTAGCAACTGAAACATGAAGCGGCATGGTGCACAACATTCAGTTGCTTCGAACTACAAACGAGAGATTCAGCTGGGTTCCAGATGAGTCTTTCGCAAAACCAAATTAGTTTGCAAATGTGTGTATTGCGCTAAGTTATTCACATCTTCTTTCAACACCAAACTTATGTGAAAATGAATTTGTTTTGCCATTTTCAGCTGTTCGTATCAGTAAGACTGCCTAAAAGACCGAAAAAAAACCTTTTGCTCTCAGAATCGACTTACCTACTCTGCCACACGTTCAGATTCAACCAGGCAACACAAACGGAAGGCGCGCGGCAGTTTGGATTGAAATGATGGACCCAGACATTAGATGAACGGAATGCTTCAAGACCGGTGAGGTATGAATGCAAACTCTCTGTAATTAGGAGACAACAGGACTTCTCCGGTTACCCATTCAATGATTAGAGCACAGAAATAAAAATACAAAAATAGAAAAACGGAAAATGAAAATAAGACAAACTCAACTTTTAAGGCATTTTTCTATCTCTGGCATTGCCTGTGGATGATTTTCTGAACCACACGCAAGTGAAATTCATCAAGCACAAGAGCTTCAGTTTACCTTTCTATTCAAATCGTCTGACGTTGCAAACGGGTATCTGTTTGTTCACACTGCTTTTCCACTGATTTTTCGGGGACTGTAGGTCAATTCACACCAGTTGTTTGCGCAGTTGTAATCTTTGGAAAACGGTTTTGTTTACTTTGAGGGATGTGATATTTTTGTTTGTTCGACACATTCCCAGAAAGCATTTGGAAGGTGTGTGACTCAGAACGTGCTAGGTGTTCAGTTGGTGACAGTCTATATGTTTGCCGAGCTTGGCAATCGGCTTGCAAACGTTTCGTCATCATACAATGAGACATCATCAGTGCTCAGTGATGATATCTCCCCGTATAGTGATGAAACGTCTGGAAGTAAATTGCCAAGCTGACTGAGCTGATCAAGAGCCACTTGATCAACAACTAATAAACTCACCCGTACGACCGATATTTCAACACACATTGCAACACAGAACGTGTCTCTCCATGAGCAACGCCACAGGGATGGATGTCCTGCTCGGAAAATCTAAGATACCAACGTGCATCAAGTTACTCACAAAATTATCAGTAGTTCAGGAAATGAGGGGTTATTGATATTTTCCAAACAGGTGCTTAATGTAGAACAAGGTCTTCATCAGAGCAGTTGATACACGTGCCGCATTTAGCAGATATCATCAAATGTCAATTAGGGCAAGGTGCTTCGAAATTTAACTCTGATGTTCCACAAACACCCTCGTTTGTTTACCGATTCGACTTGATCTGGGATACGATGGATAAAATTCAAGACTACCTGCCTTTTGAGGTGTTTCATTTGTCCTAGATGAACAATGAAGTTCAAATCGAAACTATGGAACTACATCTACTTGCTCAGCGAAATCTGTAGTCGGCTGTCGACAAACATTTAAAGTCACTTCAGATCTGGACGTGATCGGTTGAGGATCTGAACTTTTATCATTCACATACGACCCAATTCCTTGAAGCCAACCAAAATTATTTTGTGCTTCCACTTGATTATCATAATAATAATAATAATAATAATAATAATAATAATAATAATCATTGTCAGTTGTAATAACCGCGTACTTGTCGTACAGTGGTTGTAGCTGCCACAGTTTCGTTCACCGGTGATTCGGGAAGGTGGGGTAGGTAGCTGCACACTGGAGG